TTCTTAAACTTCAACTTAAATACTCCACCTTATGAGTTTGTAAATTATATTAGTGAATTAGATAATATTTTTATAGATGGATTTCCAATAGTTTGTAACGTCACAAATTCAAAGGTGGACCGTTTAAGATTTTTTGTTATGTCTACTTATTTATTTTATTGCGCGAAAGAACCTTTTTCTGACAGTGGTGTCAACCACTCATTATTTTGGCGCTGACCGCTCGATAAGGAGATAAAAGAGAAATATAATTAAAATCAAATTGTTTATCAGTATTGATCTCTTCCAAAAAGACTGGCCGTTATCGATTTGAAATTGCCGTTAGATCGGTGTTGACTCTTCTCCATTCTTTCTTCTGTCATTGACCGTGCTAGAGTGCACACGTTTATTGTTTATTTATTATGTGATGAATATGTATGATTATTTTAAAATTTCATTATTAAATTGATTAATTCTTTATTGATTTTAGATTCAATGCAAATCTGAGAAGTATTAATTTTACTATATTGTATTTTATAAAACAATTTATTCAAAATTAATAAAAAAATTTGGAAGTTTTTGTATGGAATATTTAAAAAATATATATTTTAATAGAACACGAATCATTATTTAATATTTATAATTTCCAAATTTAAAATTGTTACTTTAAATTTTGAAAAAGGGTATACACAATTTTAGAGTTAAACAATGGTCACACTGATTTACCTACATAAAAATGGCGGACTGATTTTAATCACCTCCCTATATTTGCTGTGTAAATATTTATCAGTGTCCATTCTGTTTATTCTGTGATTACACATTCAATACCTTGCTAAAAATATATTAGAGATAATAAAGTTAATTTTTCTAAAATGATCTCATATTTTTTACTAATATAGTGTCGTAGCACAAAACAAAACATGCAAGGAAGGTGTAGAGTAGTGAACGAAGATGATGAGTCTGCTGCCTGATCATATAGCAATTATCGTGCTTAGCTAACACTCTGGATTAGATGTGGGTGTCGAAAGGCCGTTGTTATAAGAAGAAAATAAGGGTAACACTTTGGTATGAGGTACAGACGAAGTGCAAGACACAAGTACTTTGAAATGTCGAGGACGAAAGTAGGTAGATGAAAATGAAAAACAAAGACTTAACTTTATGCAGTAAGCCGGACAGTGAAAATCGAGTACTGAGACTGAATGACACAAAGCACTGGAATCGACTGATCACGATGGCCAGGTCCTTTTGCTTTAAATAGTAATTCGGACGATTGCCAATTTTGCAATAAATATTAATCTACAAATCATTAGTTTCTAGAATCAGAATTCTAGAATTTCTAGAAGCCCTGTCTGTGTTTTATGATAATAGTTTTCTATAATTATGGCAACGTGACATAGTAGCAATTATTTATTTAACTATAATAATAATTATATTTTTCAAATCCTCGTAATATCTTCTATTGGATAATAGTAGCTCTTAGTTAATCATAAAAAATGTTATTATGAAAAGTTAAATTTTTTTTTAGATTACTGTTTAAGTAGGTTCAGACCCCGGGGGCACATACTAAAAATAATTAAAATTAGTTATACAAGATTTCTTAGTCTTATGTAAAATGCTTTTCTATAGCCGGTAAATATATTAAAATTACTTAGACACTCAAAAGTTTTAAGTTATTTTTAGATTAAAATGTGTTTTTGTACAAATACTGGTTATGACGTTAGTAAATTTTTCGCTTCTTTGTTTAACTATGCTATAAATATAAAATAATGAATAATAATAATAAAATTAACTGTAATACATGAATACATTTTTAAATAGCTTAAGACATAAATATTTTCAATTTAACTTTTGTACTAAAATTTGTCTATATTTCAAAAAATTGTCAATCTTACAATAAAAATGATTCAAATGATTTTATTAAAATTATTTATAATATTTTATATATGCTATGGAACATATGGTGATCTTGAAAAGGAGTGAGTATTAATTCGTAGTTTTCTATTTTAATATGTAAAAAAATTAGATTCAAATGGAATTCAATTTCATGATAATACCATGAAATTTGTACTAATTATTTTTGCTACAATTTTTTTATAAATTCCATTGAAATTTTTATGAGTAATATTGAAGACAATTATTTCTTATTTTAATAAAAAAACGGTAGCGTAATGCAGTCGCGGCACAATATAGATGATTACTGACAGTGTTTAAATCATCACCATAAGAAAATGGCCATTATGTACAATANCACAATATAGATGATTACTGACAGTGTTTAAATCATCACCATAAGAAAATTGCCATTATGTACAATATCATTAAATTGGTATAACTAAAAATTTTTTTTCCATATTTGGTGATTATAAGTTTAACATGATTAAAATGGTGTTCTTTTGACGTAATTTTGTCAAAATATTGTAGTGAATCAAAAAAAAAATAATAATATTATTTGTTGTAATTTAAAAAGGGGTTATGACTTGTATTAATTTAGGGAATATTTTGAAAGTTACTTAAAAGAAATAAATTAAATAGAATATGACGGGATTTGGGTGCTTATTTGATCCACTACTTTATTGTGTTAATAATATTATTACTCGGAGTATGAGTACGAGGGTTTGTAAGAAAGATAGAAGATCATAGAAAAATAAAGTGATCTTTATTTTATTAATATGGGATTCATTATAATTAATTGTCAATTTTTTAAATATCAATAATGCCACGAGTTTTGACGGT